TTTCAAATTCTGACAGATTAATCAGGTTACCTGGTTTAACATTACAGCTATTTAAAAAAATCAACTAGGAAGCACTAAGAAACCCTAAACCAAGTGACAAACAGTTCCCACAGATCTAAGCATGAAATTCTAACAGATGAGAATGCTGATAAAACACAAAAATATACAATTCATTACCACCTGCATCAAGCAGAATTTATCACCTGTGAAACAGGAGCTACAGGAAAGCACTTCCTTCATCAGGTGCCTGTGATAAAGCATGCATGAGTTTGCCTGGCATCAGAGCAAGTCGTTTCTTCTTCACCTAGAAAGAAAGGTACATCTAAATCAAAATTTATTGACAGAATAGAAAAAGCCACTCAATATGATTGTGTGTGGATATATATATATTCAATATATTTGAAAAGTCACCCTCTCTGCCCCTCCAAATAAAGTAAAACTTCCACTTGATTTTAATGGACCATAGAAACAATGTGGCTTGCAAACAAAATTTACACTTTTCTGCCTCACAGCCATAGCAACTCACCTGCATTCTAACATCTGAATTGCTGATGAGCTTGTAGTTCCCTGAAGGAGGATGCTTTCTTGAATTTAGAGTTAATGGAGGAGAAAAAAATGAATTCTCTAAAACCTTCAGAAAACATGCTCCACAAACAAATACTTGACAAAACAGTTAGAGGTCAATATCAACAGGCTGTCAGATCAGAGTTCAAAGAGGATTCTTTTTGGTGAGGAAATATCATATTCCTTGGTGTCTCCTTTCAGGATAAGGACATGGTGTTCAAAACCCAGCCCAGACTTCATCTGGTTTTTTTGAGCTGTCACTTACTGTAGCTGTAACAGAACTTATTACAGAAAGGGTACAGTCAGGGGCTTGGGCACTGTTTGCATGCTTTGGCATGCTACTGTCACTTCAAATCATTTTACAAACTAAAAAAAAAGTAAACTGGCCCACCTTGACTGGTGTAATTTTAAAACCACCTGAGCACCTCACAACCTTCCCTGTGGCTATTCCAGTAACACTTCATCAGTTAATGAAGTGCCACTCACCATTTCTACAAAAGAGCAGAAAGATGTTCCTGCAAGAGCATTAGCTGCTTTTATTCAGGCATTAGTCATTTGACATCTAAATTATTTTCAAAGTGACTATGAAGAACAGTTATACTTTGTAGGCATACTCCCCATTTTTTAAGTAACAATGACTTTTTAATGGCTACAAATGCAAATTTTCATAACTGAGTCATGAAGAGATCTGCACCATTATGTATGAGTGCCTCCTTCCAGCCCCAGATTTTTCTCAGCAATTATTTTAGATGATTTTCAGGTAAGTGGGAGAAAAATAGTCAAATTTCAGATTATTAAAAATAATGAGCTGTGGATTCCCCATCCTGGAAGTGTTCAAGGCCAGGTTTGATGGGGCTCTGAATGACATGATCTAGTGGAAGGTGTCCCTGTCCATGCAGGGGTTTTGGAACCACATGATCTTTAAGGCCCCTTCAAACCCAAACCATTCTATGACTCTGTGATTATATGATCCAGACTTACTACTGATGTCACAAAAGGTGCTTCTGTGTGATAACAATTTATCCATCTGGTGACAGTTACAGTAAGGTCTAATTTTTATCCAAATTTTCATATGTTTAATATATGATTACTGATACTACACATGATAATTCTTCCTGTACTATTATCTGATACTAACACATTAGTAGTCTTAAAAGATATTTAATTAAATTTATCAGCCAGGTTTGTAATTTAAGTGATTTTTAAAGTAAGATTTATATCAGCTGAATACATATTCTGTCATTCAGTCATTGATACAATCTTTTATGTTTTCAGTCCTTGAGGGTTGATGTCAACCCTCCTACAAGCAATAGTATTTCTCTGAACCTTATTACATCAGGACCATGCAAAGCAGAGATATTCAGTGTGAGTAAATTAGATAACTGTATTTTAGGAATAAGATCAATTTGGTACCCAAATGCTAAGCATTTGATGAATATCTGATATTGATCAGATAGCACTTTAAAAACTAAGAAAAGCAGTGATGTGCTGAAGACATGCTTATGATTTAAAAATATTTTTATAAAATATTTGTAGAATTTCCAGTTTATTTGTTTTTCAGCATGTATTTTACAATCCACAGGAGCTAGAGAAGAAACAAGAGGAAGAGATTTAGTCAGGAAACAGAAACAAATCACCACAAGATAAATGAAGAATGTGTGGACAGAGGGGAAGAAAGTCAATTGGAAATTGCAGAAGACTGAATTTAGTTCTGGTCCGTGCTTTCAGGCAGGCAGACGAGCCCAACCTGACCTGAGTAAAAAAAGCACAGTAGCTGTAGCAGGCACTGTCATCCTGGACTTGCTCCAAGAGCAGGGGGGTTGTGAAGAGAGGTTGTTTGTGAACATAAACTTAGAGACACTTCAATGGGGTCACAGGCAGCTCCAGCAGGACCAGGACATCAGGTTGTCTTAGTAAGTTCCACAAACTTCCTCCAACTACTAACACAATACAAGTGAGCAGCCATTTGTATACTTATTTTCTTCTCATAATATGTTTAATAGTATACCTGAATACATATACAGGTTTCCTTACTGATCTCAGTAAAATAAATACTTACATGTCCTAAGGAAAACTTGTTCTACCAGATGCTCCATTCACAGTGGTTCCATTAAGTGTAGATCAAGGTACAGAACTGTCACTCTAAATGCACATCATGTATGCTAGACCAGATTTTCCAGTTAATAGCAGGGCCATTTGCCTTATGACACAGCGTAAATAGCAGAGAAGCTACAAAAAAACAAAAAAAATTAATGGGTCAGATTACAGGTCTGTCTAGGCACTATTCAGTCCCCAATAAAGACAATACAATGCATTTGCAGAAAAGTAAATGATACTTTCTTTAAGTACTCTTCCAACATTAGGAAGTCTGTATTTTGCATACTGCCACACCAGCATTGCTCAGGTAGGTGCAAAGTTGAGACTGAGGTGATGGGGATGGCCAAGACAGCAGCACAGGTTCCTCATTTAGGGCAGTGAAAGTATTTACAGAGGTTTGGGAGCATCCCTCCCCAGCAGTAAGACCTCACACAGCATCTGCAGTCGCTACTGCTGCTGCTGAGAGAATGAGAAAACTAAACCCAGAAACCTCTACCTTAAACCATGGGAAATGCCACCAAATTCAATGGGACTGTTCAATGTAAGCACGTAAAAATAAAATTAATACATTCCTAACTGACTCGTTAAGTTTTGCTGCACAATAGCAGGAAATATGTAAATAAGTATTTTTATTGTACTACCTTCCTGCAGGTTCTGTTTTACAAGCCATTCTATTTGTTGTCTACCAACACCCTCAGTACAAGCTTCCAGCGGAGCATAACCCCAGATATATTTTTCCCTACGCACTAACTGCTTGACCAGCGGCTGTCCCGTTTTCCCAGGCGAGGTTTGTGCGGGTGCGAAGGGGCTGCCAGGCCGGGCCGCCCCCAGGCGCGGGGCCCGCTCCCTCACGGCCGGGTCCGGGCCGCGCCCAGCGCCGAGCCCGCGGCACCGGCGCCCCCTGGTGGCGGCGGGCAGGGCCGCGCCCGGAGCGCCCCGGTCAGACTCGCCCCCACACAAAAGAAAGTAAATTAATGACTTTATTTAATCTACTTTGCTTCTGGGTATTACTGCGTTCTTTCAAAAATCAGTGTAAAGCGATTTCGGTGAAATGCTGTAAAGAATCTACCACATTCAAACCTATATTTAACATTTATTGGATGAGAAGTATTGGCTAGTGTCACACTGTACTGCTGAATAGAAAACACATGTTGTTCAGAGGGCTGTTTTAACTTTTTTCTGAAAGTCAAGATCGCGTTTCCAAGATCTTTGGTTTATAGGCACGACTCAGCCATGATTACTTTGTCTTCTTTCAATCTATCAATATAACCAAACTGCCTACGAGCATCCCTCAAAAAACCACAAATATTTATTTGTAAAAAGTCCAAGCCACATCACTTGATGCAAGTTTTCCCTTTTCAAAAAGGACTCCGCTCTCAGCTATGGTTATGCAAATCCACACATTCAAAACCAAGAGCTATTCCTGATCTATAGCAGCAGTGTTATTAACAAAATGTTCTCTCTTGTCCTTTTCAATTTCTACTGACATCCCAAAGACTCAGGTTAAAATGAACTTCAATGAATGATTCAATTAAAAATATAAGTGCTGATGTTTAGTGATTATACAGGAAATTTTAAAAAATGGTCAAAGGTTAAATAATACTGAAAGAAATGAAGAGGCGTGATCTATCAGATGATACTGAGCACCAAGAGACTCATCCAATGCATCCAATGCATCATTAGCAGCATATAGAAAGGGGATTTGTAAATTCCATAAATGAGGCACATCAGAACTGCTGCCCCAAAGAACTTACTGAAGACTGAAGGAAGTCTTTGAGGGAAAAGATACTACACAGCAAAGAAAAACAGTCAAAAAAAAGATATGCCTAGCATATTTACTGTACTTGCTCCATGAGCCGTGGGAAAGGATACCGTATCAAGCAGAAATAAAAACATATTAACAAAAAAATTCTGACGACCAACATTACAACAGTTGTTTCACAGTAAATCATGGTTTAACTTTTCAGAACGTGCTTCTGATACTGACAACCATCCCGACTGCCTCCCACAGACACCACCTCAGAGCGGCGTGCAGGAGCACACGGCAATAACAAATGTCAAGAACTTTTAAAATTGGCTTAAGCAAGAGAGATGATTAGCTGCTTTTTAAATCGACATCACTTGCACGTCCTTGACTACCGGAGGTGGCGTACCTCCACACATCCAGCCGAACAACCCCGCACCAGCATTCCCGGGGATACCGCGCTCCCGGGGCCCGGCCCGGCCTCTCCACGCCCCGCCCCGCGCACGCGCGGAGCCGCCGCTGCCCCTCGCCCCATTGGCCGCGCTCCCCGCTCCGCGCCCCGCCCCGCCCCGCCGCCGCCGCGCAGGCGCAGTCGCGGCCCTTTCGGGAAGGTTCTGTGTCGCACCAGCCTTTCCTTCCTCCGCCAGGGAAATCCTGTCCGGGTACGGGCCGCCCGCAGCCCCGCTCCTCTCCGCCCCGCCCCGCCGCCGCACGGGCTCTTCCCCGTCACCGTGTGCAGCCCGCGCCCTTCCCCTCACAGCCCGCCCGCCTCCCTCCACAGCAGCCTGCCCGCCCCCCGCAGCCGGGCCGCGACTTCCCCCTGCCCCGGTCTTGTTTGTCCCTGCCCCGAGCTTAGCCGCTGTCGAGCCCTGGGCCGGCCCCGCAGCCGGTCCTGCCCCGGGGACATGCGGCTGTGAGGGGCAGCCTCATCAGCATCATCCGTGCAGCGGGGCCATGGGGGCCGCTCCCCTCGCCCCCCTCCCAGCCCGGGCCCCCCAAGGTTGGCGGGCGCCCGGCGGCCAGCGGGGTCGGACCGCTGTAGGTTAGGGGGGAGCAGGTGACGGTCCTTCCATTGCTGAGGTGCCGGCCTCGCCTCTTGCAGCTACCTGGAGGTTCTTCTCCTTGAGACGGGTTCTAACTGGGAGCGCAAGGGCGGAATAGACGGCTCCGAGCCGCAGAGTGGGACAGCCAGGAAGATCTTCGTGCCTGCAGCGCTGCTGCCAGAGTTACAGAGAAACCTGCCGCCTCTCCTCTCTCTTTCTTGTGATCACCTGGAGAGGAGAGGTGAGTTGTCTTTCCCTCTTGTCGCGCAGTAGCAGTGGAGAAGTAGGCTAGCTTGCAAGGTGCAGAACTTGTTCAGGACGGCTTCAAGCCCCAGCTGGCTGCTTGGTTTGTTTTACTTGAGACTCAGCCCTATACAAAGGCCCGCTGATGGAGAAAGAGATTAGCACCGTGTTAACCGCGCGGTTCTCTCTCCTTTGCTGCAGTGCCCACTTTCACCGCTGCCTCCTGCTCTGCCTGCTCCTGCTTTCAGCATGGTAAAGAAGAACACTATCCCTGATGGGTAAGTATCCCTCACACTAAGCAAGAGGCAGGAGCGGGCATCCCACAGAGAGGGGCACTGACTGCCCCAGGCGCTTTCTTGCCTCAAGCGTCTTCACCACCTACAGACAGGTTAAGGTAGGTATCTTCTCCAAGACAGGAACAGCCCAGCTATTCATTCCCCAGGTGAGTATAATGCTCCAGCCTGTCTGTAAACACTTCTCCTTCATCGGCCACACACAGTTCCTGCTTCCTAATCTTTTTACCCCCAAGTGTATGTTTACTTGGGAAATGGGAGAGTAGTCCATACTCCTGGCTACTCGTGTTTGCTACTAGAACTGGCCGAAGAGTTGATAAGATGGGAGCAGGTGGTTGCATGCACAAGATCAAGGAATATTTTTGTGAATTCGGATCCAGAAACATCTCGTGGTTTTGTTTCTAACAAGAGTATGACAGAAATGTTGTATCAGCAAAAATAATCCCAAATTATTCTAAATGCGCTATACAGGCCTTGTGATGACTTGATTAGAGTGTATATGTGGACCACAGAATGATGTCAATTAAAACATATACAATTCTATTCTTCAGCTCTAATAAAGCACAAGAAATGAAGTCCAAATTGAGAGTTTTAACCCATGTGTTCTTGATGGCATCAGTACAAACTTTTGGATAGGAGGGTATGCTGAGATAACGGCACACTGTAGTGGGGCAATAACTTGCAGTTTATACATTATTTGAGGAAAGAATTACATTATGCTGGTTTCAGGGGGAGTATTAAGTAGGTTTATTAAGAGCATTCTTAGGAGGAGCAATAAGATACAGAAAACATGCGCTCCTGTAATATTTGTTGGGCCAAAAACCAGTAAATAGAAACAAAAGAAGAACAGAATTTAAAAAATAAAGAAGCGGACGAGTTTGCATGGCTGACAAGCTCAAGGATTAAAATTAGAATAAACTTTCAAAAAAGCTGTTTAAACATGTGTTTCTCTGAAAATTTCTATGAAATTTCAGTTACATGTTAGATGTGAGCTAAAGTGGATTAGTTTTTAAGCAGCGATTCAGAAATTGGAAAACAATTAGTTGTCCTTGCTTTCTTCATCCTTGGAAATTGTTACTAAAACTTTGAGAATCAAGTGCTCGTTTCTTCTTTCTTATCCCCCCCTCGCATTTGAACTGGAGGAGCTGTGAGGTTACACGGATTTCTTAAGTATGGAAGAATCCATGGACTGTACTTTTGACTTCTACAATTGGAAACTAATACCTTTCAGGGAGCGAAACAGCTACTGTAAAATATTTGGTTATAACGTTAGTATCACCTTTTGACAAAGTGCCTGATACTGAAGTGCTTTAAACTTCTCCAGATAGTTTTTATACTGCTAAGAAATGAAGCTAGACATCCACAGTAACAGGGGCTTGGCAGTAATGAAGTTGAAGGCCTTGTCAGCCCCTCGGTCTCATGCAGCAGGATGTGGATGTCACCCTTGTGCTAGCACAACATGCTGTTCTTCACTGTCAGTTCAGTAAGCCAGGAAGAAATAGAAGTGAACCCTGGAAGGGACTTAAGGAGACTAGTTTGAGTATAGGTCATCCTGCATATGCAATTTATTGGCCCCACAAATAGGTGTTGGCAGAAGTGGGATTGTGGTACCCTGGAGCATAAGGACAAGTGCAGACTGTGGAAGCACAACCTCAGTCTCCATGTTGTAATAGCAATACTCTAACTCTTTGGGTTTAATGGTTCTGCAAGAGATAAGGAGAGTGACACTAAATAGTGGCATCTTTTGTCTTCCTCTTAGTGCCTCAATTTTTAACACTTTTAATCCAGACTTCATTATGCTAATTCAAGCAATACAATAAATTTGGGGTTTCAGTTAAGGTGGTAAGTAGAAATAGCGCAACTAAACAAGAAACGGTGAACCTTTTTTTAGGACAAGGGGTAATGACTTTAAAGATGAAGAGGCTTACATCAGATGTAAGGAAGAAATTTTTCACTATAAAGATGGTGATGCATAGGAATGGGTTGCCCAGAGAAGTTCTGGGTGCCCTTCCCTGCAAGTGTTTTCAAGGCTGGTTGGATGTGTCTTTGAACAACCTGGTCTAGTGGAAGGTGTCCCTTCCTGTGACAGGAGAGTTGGAACTAGATGATGTTTGAGGCTTCCTCCAACCCAAGCCATTCTATGATAAAGGAAATTATATTTCTTTTTTACCACTAATGTCTTGGAGCAGAGCTATGGTGTACTGTCCATTGCAGTCTTAAACCTACAAAATAGTGCTGGCGCTAATTTTGTAGCAAAATGAGACATCAGTGTAGAATAGTGGTTCAAGTGACTCCTTGCACTGGTTTCCACATGGAGTCAAGTTCTGGTTCTTCACAGTGTCTGAACTGGTTTTAACCTTCAGTAGTTGTGTACTCTAATGTTTTAGTGAAGAATTAGACAGTCCAAGCTGCCTAACAACTCATAAAATACTATGATGTTTTTACAAATTTATACTCATTTGTGCTTCAGCATCCAAAATCCTGCTGTGTGTATAATTACATAAACTCCAATTTTGAAGAGCATCTGCAGAAATGTCACCTTCTGGCAAGTTTCCCTTAAATAGTATAAAAAATACTGAGTGGAGTCTTTTTGTTAGAAGGGCAAAGCTGAATTATTTTTGCCAATCGACTATAAATATACTTCTTTAACTGAATTTTTTCTGCCCAGACTTAAAGCATCAGCATTTTCATTTAGACAGGAATATTAAATACTGTGGCATAATGGATTGTGCATGTTCAACAGTGAGTGGGAGAGAAGGATGATATTTTATTTGTGAAAGTATTTCCTATCATCAGTTTTGAATCGGGTGTCTATAGAGGTGTGGAAATCAATTGGAAAATCAGGCTGCATGTATATCATGCAGTATCAGTGGCCAAAAAAAGGGAAAAGAGGTTCCAAGTAGTATTTTCTAAATGGTCTTGGTAGAGGTGACAGTAGTTGTAAAAGTAAATCTTACAATGAATCAGTTCTAAACCAGAACATTTTACTGGAAATTAAAGCTTCCATATGACCTTAACAATGTTAATGTTAAAATAAATTATGAGAAAAACATTTGTTCCACATCTGGCTAAATTATAACTTTAAAACCAAAGCAGATATAAAATATGCAGCTGGATGTAATCCATAATCAGTTTCTTCATGCCCAGCCTGGTTTCCACTCAAGCCTCTGTTGCTCTTAGTCCCTGGTACAGGGATGATGATGGTGCCAGCTCTTGTGATAACGCCTCTGACTCCTGCCCTTCTTGCTTCCACTCACGTTCAGGCAGGACACAAATCACGTGTCACAAGTCTCACTCACACTGCTAAAATGCTTAGTTAAGGCTTTGCTCCTGTAATTCCTGTTTATGTGACCATGTGCAGATGATCACCTTGGATCATTCTGCCTTTATCTGTACTTACTCTGTAAGAGTTTGATGTTCTCTAGTCCAGGCCACTTTGAATTCCCAACCATGTTCCTTTGTTGAGAACAGAACAAATGTGAATTTATTTCCGTAGCTAATCTTTGGTTCATTTCAATCTGCTGGTTTTATTTTTAGTTCTGCAGAGTGTGCTGAAATTTCCTTTTTAAATACCATTTTAAAGATAACATGGAGCACATACCCTTTATGTTTTTGATGAAAAGTGCCTTCTGCTCATTTTCTACCATAGCGCTGTCAGCAGCTTTTGAGTTTCTTGCTGATTGTGCAGATTTTTTTTTCTAGGAGGATTGAAATGGCTTTAAATACAAGAGAATAAAACCCCAAGTTTATTAAGGTCTGACAACAAATTGGCTAATCCTGGGGTATTGTTCTGTAAATCCCCAAATATGAAAAAAAGTTCAGAATTTTTACAAAGCCTTTTTTACATTGTTAATTAAAGAAAATAAGATTTAAAAGCCTTTTTTGATACTTTCTTTTTGACTTTTGAATGCTCTTCTCTATAATAATTATGGTTTATTTCCACTCATAGATTTCCAAGAGAAAGCAGGTTAAAACAGCACTGAATTTCTGATTGAAATTGATTAATGTACAATTTACATCTCTTAAATAGGAGTAAATGGAACAGTCTCAGATTTGTTTTCATACTTCACAGCAAGCATAAAGCTACCAGACTCCAGAGTTTACAAACTTAAAAATTCACTTAAGAGGACTTACCTTGCAAAAAAATTAGAATTTAGTCAAAGGTTTTATTTGAAACAGCTCTCAGTTATCTCATCTCTAGCTATCCCTTACACTTTCTCTCCTTATGTCTGCCTTCTACAGACCAGCTGTTTGCAGCAGCTTTCCTGATGATGAGTTGTGATTACTCCTGTGTTACTTCATTTGTTGTCCATTAAACTGAGCACTTGTGTGTCTGCACTGTGAGCCTTCATCTGTTCTTTGCCTCATGATGAAGGTTACAGAGAGAAGTTAGTGCTAAAGACGTGGCTGTGGGAGATTGTTATGTGGTTTGTTAATATCAAATACACTTCAGTCACCCTGCTTTGTGTTTGCTTTGTTACTTCCAAGCATCTCTGAATGGTGATGTTGTTATTTATACAACATGACAAACATAATTATAGATATTTCATTGAGAATTTTTCCAGCCAACTTCTAGTTTTTATGGTCCAATACAGGATATGTGAACAAAGCAAAGTAGTCAGTAGTTAGAATATTTTAAAATTAAATACTTTGTTTATTTCATTAAATGTTGTAGCTTTATGAACATCAGAAAGGAATCTAGAAGCTGTTGGATGCTCTCTTCAAAGAGAGAGATTAATTTAAGCATTAATCCAGAAAATTGCAAGGGAGTGGACAACAGTGTTAAAGAATCTCGTGGAAATGTTTTGTATTTTAATAGTTGAGATATTAGCCAAAAATGCAAAAAGTCTGTGTAGATTTTAAGTCATCCAGCTGCACCTTGTTAGGTTATAGAGACAACTTGCACTTGCAGAAGAAGAAATAATAGTTCTGAGTTTAGAAAGTAAACCTCTTTGAAGGTAAAATTGATCTCCTGATTAACTTGTTTTCCTCTTCAGATAATGCTTTTCATCCTTTTTTAAAAATTGAAATCTCTGAAATATTATATATGGAGAGCTTTTTCAGCACAATGCAGAACTTGTGCATACCAGCTCTTTGTGGTTTTGGAATTACAGGTGTTTTGAGTGTTGTAACAAGTCTTCTTATTGGTGATTTGTGATAGGTTTTGTTGTGATGGAATAGTCTCTCTATTTTTCAAAATGGTGAGAGAAAGTTCAATCAAGAGTGTTTCTTTGAAAAAGAAGCATATTAAAAAGGAAACATTTTTGGAAAATACTGATTATCTGTATTGTTAATGAAAGTAAACTTTGCATTTCATTGTCAATTAAATGATTGATGTGTGCCTATGGCAACTTTTTTAAGGTATTTGATTCAGTCAGGTTGAAAAATGCCCACCAACTACAACAAACATTTTTACCTGTTGAACTTTACACATCTGCTTTGCTTTATATTGGTGCTACTTGTTTGTAAATGTTATTCTGCCATTTTGAGGAGAGGAATTTCCTGGAAGTTGAAGAAGAAGGAAGGAAAAAGACTCTTTTCAAGCATCCTGATGATACTTTGAAACTGCTTCATGGAATAATTGCAAATCTGGGGACCTAATTAGACTTTATGATAGCAGCAATTTTTATGTGCTTTGTGCTGCGGGTGTCCTCTGTTGGATCATGCAACTTGAAAATCTTTAAAATGTAATATTTCAATATTTCTTTCCTTCCAGATGGCGGAGTTTGACACCAGTTGGACAGCCTATTCCAGGAACAAGATTTATTGCATTCAAAGTACCTTTAAAAGGGGTATGTATAAAAGTAACTGCAAATTGGCTGTATAAGATAAACTGCAAAAGCAATAAAAAATAGCTTGACTATACATGCAAATTTCAAGAAAGTTTTTTAAAAAATAATTTATTCAGATTTAAGCCTTTCAACCATCTGGCTTTTAAAAATATTATTCTATATTTTTATTATTTTTCTTTATTTCTGATGTTACTCTTTTTATTTATCTTTTAAAAATAATCAAGCTTCTAAATCAATCAGCATACTTCATTTGATAACTATTAAGTGCCTAAATGAATAATCTTATTAAATATCTTTTCATGGCTGTTTTAAGAAAATCATATGGAAGAGTTTATGATATGAATAACAGTCTAGGCAGTGTAAGCCAAAGTATAATTTTATGGAAATTAAGCACTCATTGAAGAATACCAGCCACTGCAGAACTTGTAAAACTATAGATCCAAATTGGCAATTTCATAAGCAAAAAGCTTCAGTGAATCTGATGGGAATGTATTATAGCTAAAAAAGAAGTCTTCATAGATTTCTCCTATTTTACTAATTAATTAGTTTATGAAGTACCTTTATTAGTATTTCCTTTAGAGTCTTGCTAGCTTGAAGTGCCATCCTAAGCTATTAAATACACCGAGTTAAATCTTTAAATTCTTTGTTTCTACAATATGTGGAGGTTGTGTTGTAGAGACTGTTCAGTTCTTTAGTGCCTAGGCCTTTTTGGAGGCATAGGGCAAATTAGTGTTAATTTTTACAGAAGGGCAAATAGGACAAGTGCAGCATAAATTGACTTCTACAAGTCCTTGCTTTAGATACAGAGAAAATAAATGTTTCCAAGCACTTTTAAAGTACAGTGGTCTGACATAACTCTAGCAGTTAAAGGGAAGTGTTCTGTCTAAGCTTTTGTCTTCAGATTGCTCTCTAGTATCCATTCACAAAAATTTTGGTTCTTTGGGTATATTACTACGCATTATGTTTTCAGTCACCATTCAGTTCAGTTTTATTAGGAATGACTGAAGTGAAATGCAGGATTTGCTTCCTGCAGCTGCCTTTACAGCTTTAGGATGATGGTTTGGTTCCTTGGACACCAAGGGTCTCATACTTAACATGTCATGTTCTCCAAGATGTGGATGGATTGTACAGCAGTTGTGTGATTTTCCACCAAGACTGCCAGTCAACAAATCAAGCTGTGAATATAAAATCCAGTAGATTTATAATTGGCTTCTTTACTCTTGTCACAAGGACCACTCCACATCAGCCTGTAACTCATTTCCTGTCCTACTTATCTCACTGGGGCGTAGATCTGTGTTCTGGGAAGCTGTCTTGGCCAGACATAAAGTCTGGTACCCAAGGATGCAAAATCTGTAACATTTCTGTCCCTTCAGCTTGTTCAGTTTCAACTATGCCAGACAGAGAAGTGACAAATCTGCCAGAGACTGTGTGCTTGAAGGCCACAGAGTTTGTGGCAGAACACACATAAAATGTGTGACTGGCTTTGCAGAGGTGGTCAGTAAATCTGTCTGAAGATGCTGAAGACCTGATTGGTTGTAGTTTGTTGGAAGTCCCATTATTTATTAAATTGGTGGAACAGACCTCTTAAATATGCAGCAGTTTGCTTCTTTGATGTGTATTAGGAACTTGATTGGTGATGTCTTCCAAAGGGAGACAACATATTTTCAGTATTTGAAGATACAGGGTTGTCATCTTAGAAGATGTGCTGTTAGTAAAGATCATATGTTTACTTGGAAGGATTTTCTGTCTTTCCTTTCACATCACCATTATAATGCTAACAGTAACTTGTAGTGTAGTAAGAATTGGGCAAGTTCTTTCCCATGCCATTAGGAGGATTTTTAGAGTTGATTTGGATTTCTCACATTCTCAAAGCCCTATTAAGCACCTAAACTACTGAATAGTCAGCAAGAGTTTTTCAGAAAATTCCAGAGCCTTTCAAAACATAGTGTTTCATAACACATATAACTGTCTACTCAATCAATATGTTTGGAGATACCTTACTTTTGTAAATTACATTCCTCCTCAGTTTCTGTCATGTCATATAGTAAAAACTCTTTAATATTCTACCATAGACCTTTTGCAGATTCACCTTTGTCACCTCAAAGTTGTGAAGTTCAGTTTCAGATTAGACTAAGAGTCACTGCTGAGTAGCAGTGACATAACTGACTCATATTCATTTTGTTTAAATGTCTACAACATCCACTTTTTTCAGCAATGCACTGATGTCTGAAATACATAGGACTGAATACTTTATTACTTCCTTTCTATCCTCCTCCTCCTTTTCAGCTCAAGCTTCCTAATCACATACCAGCTTTGATATGACTGCCCTGCTGTTTATTCTTTACTTCAGTTTCCTGTCTCTATTTCCAGACTCAAGTTCTTGCTAGCATTTTACATTAGAGTCTGTACAGTCAAAACAAGGAATGGTTAGTTACCCTATAGCATCTGTGGTTCTAAGAAGTATGTGGTCTGTGGCTGCCTTCCTTTCCAATAGTTCTGAGTCCAGTCTGCTTGAATTTCTTGTTGACAAAGGAACTGACAGGTGGTTGAGGCTGCTGCATCTTTTGCCACTGTCTTTATTGGTTCTGGCTGAGCCTGTGTCAAAAGGCTCTCACAATGGACAAGTGCACTGTTCAGAGAAAATCCAGTCTTGAGTATATGAGCCATTTTCATACCTAAAGTGAAGAACACATTTCAAAAACCACAGCTACAATAGGGTGAGTAAACATTTTTCTCACTGTTTGTCAAATGAAATGAATTATTCATTATCCACCAACACACAGCTTTCTTAGTCACGATATTTGGTCTTAGTTAATATTCCCCAGTGCTAAATGATATGCAAGTACACTCTGTCAAGAGATGAAGGAGGGATAAAAATGTCTGCACAACATTTGTGGGAAGAAAGTTAAACCTTTAGAAATGAACTCTTGTATCACAATTTCTTATGTTTTATATGAAATGCACTTCTAGTTTTGAGTTACTGTGCAGGACAAAATTTGGGGGAAGTACATTTTAGTGTTTTGCTTTTTGGTGTGTTTAGTTATATAAAAATCAATATATACATGCTGCAGTTTTCAGAATTTTTGTGCCTGTCAAGTTATAGCTAATTTTAATAATGTTTGTTACACTGTACAAGCAGAAATGCTCACATTGCCTTGCATTTTCATCTAAATAGGAATACATAAATTTTTGCTTTCTTTTTGGTTCCTCTTACCTGTATAATACATGGATGTGGTTCTGATAATTAAACACTCTCTTTTAAATATTGATGTTTCCTAGTACTAATTAAAACAGCTGAATATTATAAATGTCTTACTATTAGAATGTAAAAAGAATATGTTTCTTTTCCATTTTCTTTTTAGGCAATTAACCAGAGGCTTACCCCAACCCAGAAATTTACACCAAAAGACTTAATTGCTGCAATGAAAGCCCTAAATGTGGAGCTTGGATTAATTATTGATTTAACATACACCACACGATACTATGAAGTTAAGGTAACAAAAGCCTAAGAAAAATGTAAAATAGTTTCTGCAACTTTTGTTTTAAAGTGTTCATACATTTTCTTACCTTGAATTTGGATAGACAAGCTATCTAGACTACTTTTATGTCTCCAATAGAAAATAAATGTTTTATCACAAAGGAAATAGCTCATTCTCCCAGCTAGTTGCATTTATGGCTGATTAGTATTATGGTAACTCAGTAATGGATGAAGATTTCAGTGCCAGGCACTGCACAAAAAGTGAAGAAGGGTTGTATCCTGTGTCCTGAAGATATTCTCATTTATTCCTAGCTAGTTCTTTTTACTGATCCTCAGTGAAATCCCCTTAAGAAGGTGTACATTTTTAAACTACTTTATCAATTTAAAAGTTTTGCCTGGATGGTTCAAACAATTGTGATTAGTCAGCCTCCTGTTGAAAAGGAGAATAAATGACATTGTTATATCAGAATGCAAATCTTTGTATACACATGGGCTCTAGGAATTAAGGGAGTGAATTTGTGAGTATGTACATGGTTGTGGGTAGGAGGGACAAATACTGCTAATAATTGTAAAATGGGTTAGAATGGAATGCCAAGAAACTACTCACTACTCCCTTAGTTAATGTGCAGACTTATTAGCAGGGATAAATAAATCTTATGTGGAAACTGTTCCTTGTCTGACATGGTCTTTAATGTAGAAATGTTAGTGGTAGTTTCTGTGAGTTTATTTCTATAAAATTGTGTCAAGATTGTTTTCAGTTCCTATTCAGGATTTGAACAACTGGTTTACATTGTCATTATGTTGTATACTGATTAAGGTTTCTCATTGTTGCAAGACTTCAGTATTTTTTACCATTGCTTTTTTCTTCTTTTTTTTTTTTTTTTTTGTTAGGATTTACCTAAAAGTGTGCAGTATAAGAAACTTTACACTGTTGGGCTGGAAGTCCCTGATAATGCTACTATCCTACAGTTCAAAAAGTGGGTCAGAAAATTCCTTTGGGAAAATGCAGGAAATGGTAAATATCAGCATCCTGTACTGTAAAAAAACTCACCAAAATTTTATTTCAGTACTAAACATGTCATTTACTAGTTTCAATATTCAATAAAATGTATGACACCAGGGAACTCAGGCTTTTTGCAGCACTTTCCACTTCATTATCATGATAAGATCCATTATGCAAACCTCTGTGTATCTTTTTTTTCAATCAAAACATGTTTTTTTCAAAAATGACTGGTAACTTAAATGTGCTTCCTAATAGCGTCACATTTGTATTATGTGTCTAAGTAACTGCAGCAAGGCCTTCCTCTGTGTGACCCAATTGTTTACCATCAGCTGAGTGAGTGTTGGAGCTAGCAGCCCTTGGTGGGTGTTTGAAATAGCACTGGGTCTCTGATGGCACTGGGCACTGATCTGCGTGAGCAGCTTCAGTCCATTGAGTCTGATGTAGTGTTCTTTGCCTTAGGAGTCCATTATTGCCCTCAGGTCTGAGCAGTTCTTGAAAATCTGATCACAGACCCGGTGTCGGTGTTTCCACAGTGTGGCTGTGCTGCTATTTCAGTGTCTGTGCTACAGGACAGTTCTTGGCTGAGATTAGATAAGGTGCTTTTTGTGAAAATAATTTAGTGTGTGTTTTGCCACAGTGTGTTTGTAGCTTTAAGCTTCCCACTCCTTTTGGCAGTGAGCAGATTAGGCTGATTTTACCTGTTTGTTAATCCAATAATGATGGACCATTCTTTCATGCCTTTTTGTGTTGTTTGCTGTGGTTCCTTTGGCATTCCCTTTTAGAAAGTAGAGATATTAACTGCCCAAGTGTATAGAGTTTTTACTGCAAAGCATAACCAGGGTCTTCCTGTAGCTGATCAATTGTTTTGTGAAAAAGTTCTGACCTTAATTTCAGATATAAGAGCCTGAATTAGAACTGCTGGGAAGATGAAAAAGTATAAGAAAAAGCCTTTGTCCTTGCTCAGGAAGTTAGTTCTTCCTTTGCTCTTTTTTGGCTTAAGGAAATTACCTGGTGATTATTAGTTTTCTTTTGGTTTGGATCTAGTGCATTTTTGTGTGATAAAGAATAGTGTGTATCTGAATCTGATCTTGAGAGAATCAATTCTTGATTTGTTACTGGATGTTGACATGCAGTTATAGCTTGTAAGGGCATTTTGGCAGAGCTTATGTAACTTCTGAATTGAGAGAACTTTCCTCCTTGTAATTTGGCCTCTGTTTTAGATAATCCCTAAAATATCTCAGAATTCCTTTTACAAATACTTTTTAAGAAGGTGGTTCTTTTTTAGTGTTTGAGTTGTTAGGACATCAACTTGGAATGAACTTCTGTGGCAATTAGACTGTCGTGATCTGTGGCAAACACATTTTCTCTCAGTTATATTTTATGTCATTCAAAAGTTTATCAATGTCCTGTTTCAAAGACCATCTGTCACTACTGTCTCTGCCAAAACTCTATTCTTCTGATGATGATAATTTTTCTTCAAAAATCTAAAACTTGCCCTGCCTAAAACTTAATCAGTTATGCATTTATTCTTCTACCAGCTTTGCCCTTTATTGTTGTTCTCTATCCCCATTATTACATTCAGTATCTCAGATTTGGTTTTATAGACTAAGACAAGCTTCCTTCTTTTATGACCAACATAGTAGCCCTTTCTATATATATATTTTTTTTTTAACTTCTTTGTTTTTCATTACATTTCAATATGAATATAAGTAGTCTGGATGGGGTTTTACCAGTGCCTTGCATGACTGTATTAGAGTTTCCCTGTTTCTCTCATTTGAAGCACTCTGGCAATAGTAAGTTATTCTGCTTTTTAGCCTTTGGCCAATAATCTTTTTAAAAAATATTTCTGTAGAGATTACTGATCCTTTTTTCCTCCATGTATTATACTCCTAAGCTTTTCATACTTTCAGGTGCATTATGTGTAAGTTAAGTTCCTCAGTTCTACATTTGCTTTCAAACCTGTATTTTATTCTTTTTCTCTTGTTACTGCAATGGCTGAGGTTAGGTGCTTTACCTGCCATCACTCTCTTTTTTTCTACATTCTGCAGAGTCAGTCTCAGCCATCACAGGTTTGGAAGTAGTGAGCTAACAGCTGCTAGAGATCCAGCATGGAGAGGACATGTGTCTTGTCTGGACATGTCTCTTGTTTTACAGGCATGACAGTAGAATTTCTAAATAGCTAGCATTATTTATTATTACTTTGCTAGAAAAGCAGAGATTTTTTTTGTAAAAAAAAAAAAAAAAAAAGTTGTGCTAGCTTTCTATTAATTTCACTTCCTGGACTATTAAAGACTCTTTCCTTTTTTGACAGAGAAACTCATTGGTGTGCACTGTACTAATGGAATTAATAGAACTGGCTATCTTATTTGTAGGTAAGGCTGTGTGAAAGCAGAAATTATTCTTCACAAAAAGTAAGATCCTTATATTACTCTCTATTCCCTTTGGGACAATAACATAGTCATACTTTTCTTCAGGTATCTTATAGATGTTGAAGGCTGGGATCCAGAGGCAGCAATTCAGGGTAGGTATATATTTTGAACTAAGGCGCATGTCAGGTTGTACTTCACAATTACTAAAAACTCACAAATACAACAATTCTATTTTAGTATCTTTTCAGCAATTTCATGTGCTGACTTATATAGAAGATTTTATACCCAACTGTTGATTCTATTCCAGGCAGGACTTGAGCAATAGCAGATTGACAGCACAGGGGGAGTATGTTTTAGCTGCTTAAATTTTTTATTTTTACTTTAAAGAGTTTTCACTCATAGTTTGTTACCACTACTAGTTTCAGGGGTCTTTTTCAAAAATGCTGCAATGAAGCCAGCTTGCTGAAATATTTAATACCAAGTTAAAATTCTTTCAAATTCAGCATCTCATGTGGAACAGAAACTTGCCTTTCACATTTTTGTGGCTCAGTTTGACCACATTTCATGAGACTGTATTTTTTTCTTTTCTCTAGCTTTTGGTGATGCCAGAGGTCACCGTATGGATGGCCTTGTGTATCTCACAGATCTCAGGACGCAGCCGATGCGAAGGTGAGCAAAAGCTTTTAGTTGTGTTCCAGCATGTCTCCTGGCATTTTTAAAAGTTCATTTCCAGTCCTAAGCCAAAATTACTTCCCTCTTAAACCTCTAATATGAAACTACACATAGATGTAAAACATCTGTGTAGTAGTTTGTGTATTGTCAGATGAATAACATGAAGTGCAGTGTACTTTGTTCATCTTTCCAGTGTATATGGTTTGAAAGATTGTTTTTAATCTGACAGCTACTACTGAACATTGTTGTGCTTTTATCATACTGTGACAAGTGTATGATGTACTGAGTCTGTATTCTCTCAGAAGCTGAAAGGAGCCACTGCAAAGGTGTCTGTGTAAGCTCTGTGATCTGTCTGCTGTTGTTGGCACTGTAGAACAAGATATTACAAAAAAAAAAAAAAGTAGAACGGTTTTAAGAATAAAAAAAAATACAGGAAAGTGGAACATTGTTCTTGTCCCCTCTTTTCACAGTAGTTGTATTTCTGATGCTTAAGAACGTTATGTTTATCATTGTCTCCTAACAGCAGCCAACTTTTAACGTCTTCTTAAGGTATTTGTGCCAATGATGCCTTGTAGCAGTAAATGAATTTTAAAATTAATACCTGAGTGATTTGTTTCTTTTCCAGTTAATTGAAGGTCCTTTGTTTTGCTCTTATTGTTGTTTCATAGTCTGTGCAAGATTAAGTTGGAGTCATGTCAGATTTTTAAAATAAATTTACGAGATTAATATTTTCTGAGTTGTCTGTAGATTTTACTTAACATAAAATTTCTGTCATTCAGAACTGAAGAATTTTATGGGAGTGGGTTTTTTCTCTGTCAATAGTATGCTTTAAAAAGGAAGCTTATGTGAGATTTTTTTTCCCCCTTAGTAACCTTGGAATGGATGTGTGGGATGCAGATGAAGATATTATCCCACCACCACATGCAATGGAAGGATCTGTAGAGCGGTTCCCAAATGAAGATTTTCAGGGGTAATAGGCTGAAAAATGGAATTCAAAACAAAACAAAAAGCCAACTAACCAAAAACAAACAAACAAAAAAAGATAAAAAACCACAAAAGAATTGTTTCTTATTGAAAATACCATAGATACTCAAAAGAGATTTTATTAATATAGCCTACCCATGTAAAATGTATTTACAGAATTTGACAAAACAGCAACAAGATACGGGTAAGAAAGGGAATGTATGCTGTTAGAAGTCTGTAAGTAATTAGTTCACTTAGGAAAATGCAGTTTTACTTAGCCTGTCGTTCTTCATTGTTCTACAATAATCTGCAGTTATTTTTAATTAATTTTGAATCACTGGTTTTGCCTGTTTAACAAGTACTGTAGAGTTACAATTGAATGTTTGTCACAGCTTCTGCTTTAACACTGAGGGTTTTATAATCTTAGATACAGTTTGGATTATTAATACTTTTGATACCTTAATATTTGATGAAGGTCTTTCATATAAATTCTTGGTTAAAAATGAATTGTTTTCATTAATGACTTGTAGCACTTTTAAGTATGATATTCAATACTTCTTAACAGGTCTGGGAAAAGATTAAGAATTTATGATGACCACTCTCACAATGATTTGCAAGGACAGATGCAGCTGCGAGATTTTGACTTCGTTAATAAGGGGCCTGGACAAAGACGAAGGCCATTTCATGACCATCAAACTCAGGATGAATTAAGAGCATCAGTGCAGATGAGAAATTGGGACTACAACAGGGGACCAGAACAAAGAGCCTTTACTGATCACCAGTTTTATGATGATTATCAAGAAGACACGCAGCTGAAGGACCTAGACTTCAGTAGCAAGGGACATGGACAGAGTTTGAGACCTTTTCATGGGCACCAGTTTCATGATGATTTGCAAGCAGACAGGCAGTCTTTTGACTTCAACAGAGGACGGGATCAGAGGCAGAGATCCTTTTCTGACCATCCATCTCCTGATGATTTCCAGGAAGACAGACAGTCAAAGGATTTTGATTTCGGTGGCAGGGGCCGTGGCCAGAGACGAAAACTGTTCCGTGACCACCAATCTCATGATGAATTTCAGACTCAAATGCAGTTAAAAGAATTGGATTCTGCCAGTAGAGGTCCTGGCCAAAGACTAAGATCCTTCCATGACTATGAGTCAAATGATGGCTTGCAGTCACAGATGCAATTGGGAGATTTTGAATTTGTTAAGAGGGGTCGTGGACAGAGGTCGAGACCTTTCAATGATCACCAGCCTCGTAATGACTTAAAAACAGAGATGCAGCTGAAAGATTATGATAATAAAGGTCCTGGACAAAGGTGCAGACCTTTTCATGACCCTCAGCCTTATGATGGCTTACAGGAACAGACTCAATCAAAAGATTTTGATTATGGTAATAAAGGGCACGGACAAAGGCCAAGACCTTTTCATGATCATCCAGGCCACAATGACTTGCCACGTGAATGGTGTTCAGACAGGTAAAGCATCCTTGAGCTGTACGAACAGAAATAGAGCATAAAAATGTAAACCTCAGCAGTTTTAACTTAAATGAAGTATTTTTTTAAATTATTTTTTTAAAAACCAATCATCCTTTTTCTGTATAAATGATCAGTTCATTAACTTCTTGTTTTGACTTACTTGACTTAGGGTTTGATATAAGCTGGAGTGTTGCAGCTTCAAAAGCCAGTGTTTCCTTAATTAGAAGGTTGTGCGTCTTTAAAATTTGTGTTTCCTTTGCCTTTTAGTCAGCTTGAAACAAAACTCTTGTCCCACTTTGTTTTGTACAGAAACTTATGCTTAAAAAAAAGTCCTCTGGACAAAAGAGGATATGAAATTTTATTTATGCCTTCAGCCAAACACAGATAAACAGGAGCGCTACAAGGAAGTTTGATTTGCCTTTGTTTATCCCATGAGTTAATAATTTGTTAGAAATCTGCTTCAGAACTTGCATTATATTCTCACAGATACATACATCACTTACTAATAAACCTATAGGGTTCTGACATATTTCAAAATACTTTTAATATTGCAGAATGTATTTCAGATTCATTGGACTAGTTAAATTTGATTTGTTTCATTGTACAGCTAAAACAGAGAATGTTATTACAGTGAAGCATATGATTTTGAGGTATTAAATGAATACAGTTATTTCAATTTTTATTAAGTAATCTATTTTAAAAGAAGAAATATTTTATTTCATTTGATGTGTATTTTTCCCCAAATCTTACAACTGTCTTCTTAACATGCAATTCTTTTGGTTATTTGCAGAAGTCAGTCCTTTCCTTCCCATGAAAATGTACCAGAACCTCATTTCTCCTCATCTCCTTCACTTCACAGAGATTATGGGTCTGATAATGATGACTTTAACAGAAATTACAGGTAAGTGTCAGATATATACACTGTTTTCTGACTTACCTTTGTAGTATTACTCCCCCTGTTTCCAGCTCAGAAATACAAATTAACTGCACAGTGTAAAAATCTGTGTTAATATTTTTGCTTAAATGCAGTTTAACCCATTGGATCTGAGCACTGAGCAAATGAATGTGACTAATTTTTCCATTGATACTGAGTTTTGAGTGTTATTATTTTGTGAATCTATGACATAATCATTGACATGGCAAGCACAGTTCAAGCTAATGAACTACATAATGAAAATGGTGTGTCAGTGAGCAAAAAAGCAAAGGACAGATGCTATATTTAACTCAAGTGCTGTGCACAATGAGCTAAGGAGTTTTACTGTGCAGGGTGGGCAGACACTGAACTGGGTTGCCCAGAGCCATTGTCCCACATCCTTTTAAGAATGGACATAGCCCCTGTACAAACTCATCTAATGAGACTTAGTTTGAGTGACCCTGGCTACTTCTAGAGATCCTTTCCAGTCTGAGTGAATCTATGGTTCAATAAGGGAGAAGATTTTAAAATTTTAAAGATTGTTTTGAATTGGCTTTATACATCACTTACTTTACCAAACATGGAAGGTATTTAGAGTAAAGAGAATTGAAATATAAATATAAATACATATATACAGTATCTGCATTTTAGACCATTCCATGTGTATTTTATAGGAGAGTGAGTCTTCTATTGCAGAAAAATTAATAATTAAAATATTTTCCAAAATACATTATTGCCTGTTGAGGCTATGTACTAGAGAGCTATTGTTACATATTGTACACAAAAATGAAAACACAAATTTAGGAAAAAAAGTCCCCTAGGTAAAGATATCCTCAGTAAACCAGTAATTTTAATTGTAAACAGCACTTGAAACAAAACTTCATCTAGTAGAATTACTTACTGTAAAGAGCTGTAATTTTAATCACTAGAATTGGAAAGTTAATACAAACAAGTTTGCAATATCCATAGAGAGGATTTTAATTTCAGGGGTTAAAAATGAGAATGAGGGTTTGAATTGTTCTTTCAGTGTTAGACACAGTTCATTTCTATTGGTGGCCAGCAGCAATAAATCAACTGCTTTATTTCTATGAATTTCACTGTTCATATTTGTTCTTGCAGTAATCGACCACATTGTCCTGAAGACAATAGGAGAGTGCATCCCTCAGAGGAATTTCATAGAGGAAAAAACAGATTTGCACCATACTCTTCACGGACAATGCACCCATCTTCATCCATACACCAAGAAGATAGTTCAGTAGACTATGAAAGAAAGCATTTTCAGGGAGAAACTACCAGAAGCATGGAACAAAATAAAAGATTACCAGTTGTAACTGTTGATTACAATTATGGTCTGCCACTAGACTATGGACGTGAAGAGGATGAGAGATCCCATTATGATTTACCACCAAGAGACCACTACAACTGGAACTGAATAAAAAGGACAATGTTTGCTCAGCTTAGAATTGCTTTCACACATTTTATTTTGTATGTGGACCAATTTTTTTGAAAGCAAATTAGTTAAATGAAAATTTCAGTAGTAAAGTACAGGTCTCTATTGTAAGATTAGCTTCTACTGATATTTGGGTCTTTAAATTTATTAGGCTCTATTTGTTAAGTGTCATTGGAGACAATGTCTCTGTACACATGGAATTAAAGCAGTCCTTCCTTTTAGTAAAATCGCAACCCTGAAAGAAACAACCCCTTAAAACAAGCAACTTTCTGAGTGATTGTGTTTATTTTTTGTTTTACAGTTCTTTAAAATATATGTGATTTCCAGATGCATAATAAAACACTGCACTATCAGGTAGACTAGCATTGCAAGTATAGGGAAAATACTTAGAAATGAATGAAGCCAGGTTATGTACAGTTTTGAAAACAGAACTTTGAATTACTGCTAAAAGTCACTGCAGCACCACAGTTTACTTCCATATTATCTATACCATCCACTGAACTGACCTAGTTGCATTCTTTTTCATAGCAGAACTTTTCCCAGATTGCTAAGAACATGTAAACACTTGGAATTTGAATATTCTAAATGTCAAACTTGCTTTTCAGTAATTGGAATATTTCATCCTGATTGTGTATTTTTTCCTGATCCCTTAGGTTATCTATGTTTCAGAACAGCCCACTGCAGGTAAATGTCACCAGTTTCTCAGCAACAAATCCTAAGGAAGGTAGGTCATGTATGTCACCTTCACTGTCTCAACTGGCCAAGGACACTGGTGCCCATGTACTTGCACCTCCTTGTTTGTCAGTCACATCTGCCCCACTCCTCACTTCTGTTGTGTACTAGTTTCTTCTTACAGCAGAGCAATGTAATCAGAACAGCAAACTTATTTCTTCAGGTGAGCTCCTTTTAAGGGTCATGTATTGAACAGTCTCCTGAACTGCCTGTGGCTCTCACAAAGGCAGTGCCACAAGCTGTAACTGAATTTATGCCAGCAGCTGCCCAGTAGCACCTAGAACTCCTGCTATGGATAAGGAAATTGTTCCCTAGGATGAAAAGCTGTAGGTATTTCAATTTACCTAGTTTAATTACTATTAAACTTAGGTAAATTGAAATACCTACAGCTTTCATTACTATTACATTTTTAAAAAGTAATACTTGAAAAGGCATCACAATAAATAAGGATAAAGGTAGAGCATTATATTAAACAATTCAATGCAGGCTACTTAAGTCATACAGTTAAAACACTGCCTTAAAAGCAAAGCTTTAAAGCATCAAGCAAGAGAGCAAGAGGGTCTAGGTATACTCTAGAAAACTGGGGAAAAAAAGTGTTTGTACCAAAACCCAGAAAAGTTTTTTTTGGCTTTCAATGGCAGCATAAAACCCAGACTTCTGAATTCATGGTTCTGTACTAAATAAGAACTAGATTGGAGTATCTTGTAACTCCTGTTGTTTGGTAACACATGCAAACAGTTCCCCAAGTCAAAGGACTCCATGGGTATAAATTCATACTGCAAATGCTTCATTGCCTGTGCAACTGGTAGAACAACTTTGGCTTTGTTCATTGTACAAAGTAAATAGTTTTCTCATTTTCACAGCAGCTTTGTATTTCCCATTAAATTGTATTTGCCATCAAATCTGATGGTCAGCTCCATTCATGTGGTCTCAGGAATGAAGCCCTGTCTATATAAACCAGTTGTGGAACTGAACACTAAAAGTCATGAAAAGGCATTTGTTCCTTCACTTGGCTTTCTTTTTTTTTTTTTTTAACTTGAGCTGTAAGATGAGAATCTTTATCTACACTTCTTTATTTGGAAGAAAGAAAGATCTGCAACATGGGCTACTATAGATCCTTTTAAAAAATCAACAAAAAACACCCTTCCTGGCATTTTCCAGCAGGGACTCAAGAATTACAGACTGATATTATAAGCATTTGTTTGAGGTTTTTTCCTACTATGTATGCAGTATTCATAAAGTGAATAAAGAGCAGAAAACATTTGCCCTTTGTATTTCTGTTTTGGGGTTTGTTATTTAGGATTGCAGTGACCCTAGAATCCATCCTTTGCTACTTCAGACTGGAGAGCTGAAAATATGCTGCACTGGAAGGCTCAGTGAAGAAGAAATATGGCATAAGAAGTTAAGATCAGCAGCAGCTCTTACCAGCCCTTGTCAGTTCCTGCAGGACCCTTTGAGGGCCAGGTGCACACAACCAGGTGGTGCAATTCTGTTATCTAACAAAACAAATGTCACTTTGCTGCTATATTGAATGCCTCTCTTCAGGGAATATTGTTAGACATGATGTTTCCACAAGTGGTTTTGAGAAGTCTATATGGAAATAAACATAGTTTTGTTTGTGTATTTATTTATTTATAATTTAGGATAAGGCTCTCCACCCTATTGTTCCTAATGGAATTATGCAGAACTAAGCCCACATAATGTATTATGAACTCCAGCTGACATTTATCTCAAATTCCACAGATTGGTTCATCACTGTGTGTTCACATCTGTACTATTTAATTGCTAATTAAATTCACATGGTAGAGAATGAAATTAAATGTTTCTTGTTTTTTAAGGGAATATTATATTACAGCAGCACTCATAACTAAAACACAATACTTTTATTTATTTCACAGTTGTACAAAAAGGCCATAAAATTTTGCTGATGTCTTTCATGTATGTTCTCAGCAAACACAGAACTAGCTGCTGTTGTTGTATCACAGAGCATAAAGAAGCCAGATAGTGTTGGTTTCCCACTGCCCTGAGTGTGAAATTCTGAAGAAAAACACAAGAATACAGAAAATTCAGACTGAACACGAAATTATTTAATCAAGTTGTAACAGTTCTAATATATAGAAATGTTGAACTCAACTCTCAGAAAACTTTTCTGTTGCTGTCCTGATGTCTTGTTTTCATAGGATTTTTATCAGATGGTGAATCCTTCATGCCAGTTTGCCCTGAGCTGTGATCATCCTGAGTTAGGAAATGTTCAGGTGATTCCTGGAAAACCCTGAAAATTCACATGAGCTCTGTGCAGAAGGCTGATTCCCAAGAATGGCTAGGGAAAAGGTCAGCTCCAACAGGAAACCAGAACACAAGGATAAAACTAAATTTATATGTAGTAATCTACAGTGTACAGCATTCAATTTTCTGTGTGAAGAACAAGGTTACCTATAAAAGGGCTAGAAAGGTTTGCACGTGATTGTTTTTTCTCTCAGCTGAGGCAAAAGGTAAATGACCTACAAGAAGCCACAAGTGTAATTGGGATCCTTCCCTGTTTCTTTGCTCTGCAGTAACTGCTAGCAAGCTGCAGGCTTTCTCTTTGTGTGTGCAAGAATGATCAGTGATGTTACCCATCAGATCTGGGGGGCACTGCTCAACCAGTGTGCTGGGACCACCAGTTCAGTGACCGGAGCAGCATCTTCTCAAAGATCAATTCTTTCTTCAAAGAAAGAATTCTTATGCGAAGCATCCAGAAATGCAGGCACCCAAAGGTCATTTGTGGCCTAAGAAGCTGCTCAGTGCTAAGAAGGAAGGTATCCCCCATGTGGGGCTAAGCAAGGGGATAGGAATCCTTGGCTGCTGTGAAGAGCAGTTTATTTAAAATGTGTGTGCAAACTAAAAGCAGTAGCTTCCATGCTGTCACCAACCATAGAGCTTGTTTCCTCTCCAGGCTGACTGTTACTGGCTCCAGTTGTCAGCAGACTGTGCCTTACTGGTTCCAGTGGACAGCAATTACCAAACCAGCAGCTCCCTTCCTTCCTCTTGTGGAGAGCCAGAAAAACAGATGACAAAAATGAACCAGGTGAGGAAACAATTTGATTCTTTGTCCTCCTGAGATGAGAAGACAATGCAGGGGTTGTGGGGAAAGGACAGGAAAAGAATTGTTTTAAAAAAGAAAAATGAAGGAGGGAAAATGAAAATGCAAGTGTTAGGGGGAGAGAGTCACCATTGTGAGGGAAGAAAGGTACAAAAGGTGCATGTGTAAAAAGCTGGTGAAGGATTAGTGGGTATAAAAAGAGGACGCATGCTGGAGGAGCAGTTCCTGGCAACTTCTTATCTGGGTCTTCTGAGCTGTGCATGTGGCTCTGTGTGAGCTGATGTAAATAACAGTTATCAAAAAATACAGGAGCACTCAGACCTCTAATCCTAAAGTAAAGTCATGTGGGATCTCAAAACTAATTAAGGCTTCTCTCTAAGCCTTAAATCTAGTCTATGTGTAGTATAATATCCTGACGACATTCCCTGTAGAATCCAATGAGAATTTCAGACAATCAAGTAAGTAACTACTCCACAAACCTATTCCACATGGAAAACAAGTTCAGTTTTTACTGGGTATCAGGAATCCATGAATAAAATTCCATTTGTCTATTACAGGTACATACCTATTTTATCTCACTCTTTCAGGACAGCATAAAAACACACTATAATGTTGCTATTACTGTACCCATCACACAAAACTCACAGTTATAAATTAGTTAAAGTGTAACAAACAAATCTGAAGTAACTCTCTAAGAAGTACAAGCAGGTCAATACAATACATACTGAAAGTAGGAGACATTTATTCCTTTATGAGGAACACTCAGGACTGAATGTTCCACAAAGGAAGATGAAAGAACCCTCAACATAGATAAGTCTGATAAAGTTGTTACAGATGAGGATGTTCCCCATGTAGTTCTTCAAAGGGCCTCCTCTAACATAAACAGAAAGAAGTTTTTACTTTAAGAGTTATACTACCAAACAAAAATCCATAAAACAAGATTAACTCTTTCAGGAGAAGAAAAGAGATATCATTAATATCTGTTTATCTCAGTCCATCTTTGAGATGTACACAGTAAGTTTAAAAGAAATAAAAATGGGTATATCCAAGACCTGATTGATCCTTGTGTGCAGACTTCAGATGAAAAATAGGATGGTCCCATCCTGGTATCATGTTGTAGATATTCAGTAGCAATTCTGGTATACAGTAAATGGTAAATTATGATATTCACACAACATGCTGGAAATCTTTTATAGGCCTAAAAAATATTCTGAGAAACAATATTTGCAAATTAAAGTAAAAGAAAAAAAGTTATTGCTTTCTGACACTTAAATATAGGAGTTAAAATATATAGAGAGCAAAGGGTACGTGCACCAGACTTGTTTTTAAATCTAATTTAAAATCATTAACTGCTGCAGAACTTGTGATGATGGCCACAGATTAGCTTTCTTTTTTATCTTTGAAAAGCAACAGCTTTTGGAAAGAGCTGGACTAAATGTGAAACCTC